ATAGTAAAAATGGCAATTGTACCAAAGGCAATCTATAGATTCATTGCAACCTCCATCAAAATGTCAACAAAATTCTTCACAGACCTTGAGAGAAAAATAATCATCTTCATATGGGAAAACAAAAGACCCAGGATAGCACAAACAATCCTATACCATATAGGAACTTCCGGAGGTATTACCATCTCTGACATCAAACTCTATTACAGAGCTACAATAATGAAAACAGCTTGGTATTGCATAAAATAGAGAGGTTGACCAATGGATCTGAATTAAAGACCCAGATATTAATCCACAAACCTATGAGCACCTGATTTTTGACAAAGAAGCTAAAATTATACAATGGAAGAAAGAAAGCATCTTTAACAAATGGTACTGGCATAACTGGATGTCAACCTGTAGACGAATGAAAATAGACCCATATTTATCACCATGCACCATATTTATCACTCAAGTCCAAATGGATTAAGGACTTCAATATAAAACTGACCACACTGAATCTGATAGAGGAGTGGTTTACAAGGTCCTTCTGTATTTGTGTAGCTTCCATCGGTTAATAAAGAAACTGCTTTGGGCCTGGAGATAGGGCAAAGCTTAGGTAGTAGGGAGACAGAACTGAATGCTGGAATTAAAAAGCAGAGAGAGAGAGAGAGCCTCCATGGAGCTGCCACGTCAAACATGTGGAATCTTTCCCAGGCAGGCACGACTTTGTGGTAACACACAGATTATTAGAAATGGGTTAAATCAAGATGTGAGAGTTAGCCAATAAGAGACTAGAAATACTGGGTCAGGCAGTGATTTAATTAATACAGTTTCTGTGTGGTTATTTTGGGTTTTAAGCTGTGCTACTAGCACGACCTCTGTCTCTTGCGGGAGACAGAACATCTAGATGAGGTTTGTGAGTAAAGTGCTATGGTGTGCCTAGAAGGGGGCATTGGGTGCCATGGCTCCGAGGCACAAGTGTCTCTGCCATGTTGGACTGGGCAGAGCAAGTAGGAAGTACCTGTATTTGACCTGGGGTTGTAGCAGCTTTGATTCTTAAGTGTTTAGCATTTCTAAAGTTCTTCAAGACAATAGAGAATTATACAAAATGCAATAAGGAAATATTCAGACATAAAACACCTCTAAATTGGTCAAAATGTTCAATAAATGTAAGTAGGCTTGGGAGAGAAAAGATAGAGCATACAGAGTCATAAAATAAAGTTAATGTTTTATTTTTTAAAAGAGTGTAAAGTCTTTAAAGACACAGTGTACAGATAACCATAGATTAAAAAATAAGCCACATAAATAGAAAATTCACAAAGAGTCTAGATTTTGTGTATTATTGTGTTTTTCTTTATTTTTCTTTATTTATTAAAGATTTCTGCCTCTTCCCCGCCACCGCCTCCCATTTCCCTCCCCCTTCCCCAATCAAGTCCCCCTCCCTCATCAGCCCAAAGAGCAATCAAGTTTCCCTGCCCTGTGGGAAGTCCAAGGACCACTCACCTCCATCCAGGTCTAGTAAGGTGAGCATCCAAACTGCCTAGGCTCCCACAAAGCCAGTTCGTGCAGTAGGATCACAAACCCATTGCCATTGTTCTTGAGTTCTCGGTAGTCCTCATTGTCCACCATGTTCAGCGAGTCCGGTTTTAACCCAGGCTTTTTCAGATCCAGGCCAGCTGGCCTTGGTGAGTTCCCGATAGAACATCCCCATTGTCTCAGTGTGTGGGTGCACCCCTCACGGTCCTGAGTTTTTTGCTCGTGCTCTCTCTTCTTCTTCTTCTGATTTGGACCTTGGGATTTCAGTCTAGGCTGTTTGGATGCTCACCTTACTAGATCTGGAAGGAGGTGGGAGGTCCTTGGACTTCCTACAGGGCAGGGAACACTGACTGCTCTTAGGGCTGATGAGAAAGGGGGAG